GGGTGTGAGAATTTCATCGCCGGAACTCGCCATATAGCAAGCCTTTTCTGCTGGCAGATGTCATTGTCACTTGCAGCATGAAAAATAATAAATCCAGCTTTAGTCAGAACTTTAGGGAAAACAAAACAATTAAGTGGACACAGATACAGGATGAGCTCGTATCATTGGAAGAAGTAATAATGATGCATTTATATAGCACATTGACCGAATTAATTTGCTCTAATCCGCTTCAAAACACTTTGCGGGAACTTTGGCCAGACCGCCTTGAGCAGTTAGCAATTTTACAAGTACCCCTTATTTAGGAATTTGTGGAAAGAGGGCCAGACCACAACACGAGAGCTACGTTCCCCACTCTTTGTGAGAATTGGGTGGGTTCTTTATCGTCCCCTGCTAACCAATACAGAAAAGATGCAGGAGACGGGGCCCACGGTTTATCGTCCTTTTCTGAGTAGACTACTGACGTCTGATCATTTTCAGAGGTCGTAGCAAAGGCAGCACATTTCCCTAGTTATTTTAAGACCCTGAGTGTTGGTCTGATCTGGGGCTTGAAACCCTTGACCTCTTGCACAGAAGTTCGGCGCCCTACAACCTGAGCTCTATATAACCACCTGGTTATCATTATCGTAAGGTACAGACTTATAGCGGAATTCGCAGCGCGCACAGCGAGGCCCCATACTTTACTAAATGGTAGGAACAATTAGGTTCCAAAATACAGAGCTAAGAAACCAGTTATACGCAAAGCCAAGAACTACTTTAAACAACTTTAAACAACTTATTGGTCGAAAGGTTATTTGGACATGTAAGAAGTATTTCTGGCTATCAAAAGTGTCTACTATCTTAGCTTTCCAAAGTATTCATCTATAAAGTCTCTCTGAGTTCTCTTATCTGCAAATCCAAACTGGAACTGTGTAAAAGAGTCTAATAAACCACTTATTTTATATCATGTGATAGTGATGATTCTTCCAGCCGATGTCACAAGTCAAAAATAACTCGTGGCATGCAAGTACTGTATTTACTAGCAATATAAGAAAGTATTGCTCTGATTGGTTCATCCTTTTTAGACCAGATATTAAATCTGATTTTAGTGCGTCCAATAAAGCTGACAACTGCTAAATTATCGATCCAGTGATAAATATAGAGGTTACCACACGGTGGCGAGAAGATATGAATTATATGTTCGAGTTGTAAGAACAATATCTCGCTCGTTCGATCGCTGCGCTCACTTGTTATTATAGCATTGTTCTTGCCACAAGAACACAAAATTCATATCTCCTTGTTACCGTGTAATATCCTTCATATATTTATTGGGAAGAAATATGTATTTTTTAATCACATGTACTATATAAACGCGTGGTAAGTATTAGATTTGGAGTGGATGTTGTATCAGATTGTGTGGATACTATGTGCTATCAAAGAAGGTTTATATTTTGGTTGTTCAAGTGGTACACTGAAACTCATTACAGTTTTAAAAAAGGAAAAAAATTTATCTTTTCAGAGAGGAAGCGAAAATTACACGCTAGAAGTGAGGAACACTAAAATTAATTTCCATTATTAATGTTATTTACATTATTATTATTTCCCAGATGGTGAAAACGGTCAAGTTAGGGAGGGGCATGGGAGAGAGTAACAACTTTATGGTCAAATTGTGGGATTCCTTACACGACACTCAATGAAACATTGGAATTACGTTATGGAATGCTCTAACCGTTGGAGAAGAGTGTTTGTTGTGTTTGTTTAAGTGGTATTCTAAAACGCAGTACAATGCAGACGCAAAATGTTTGTGATGGCGCATGTCCTATCCACAGTCTTTGCATACTTCTGAGTCTCATGCGCGTTCCTTTGGGGTGGATATGGATCAGGATGATTGATCCGAGATCACTGGGATAACAGTTTACCAAGAGAAGGGTGTTAAGGCGCATAGTCTCAGTGGCAATGACAGCAGGCGTAAATTTTTTGCATATGTTTCAGCGGAATGGACACGCAAAATTTGCAAACCGAAATTCAATGGCCTCTGTATGAACGGAATTTTTTAAAAATGTTTTTATTAATAGAGGAATTTTCTGATGATTCCGCGCTAGTAGAAGCGAGCGGTTCCAAAGATGACGAAGCTCTATTTTTCTTTTTGATAAGCAACAAGGAATTGAAGGAAAAAGCCATGCCCTACAAAAAGCATTTAAGACAACTAAAGCGTAAAAGAGAAGAGAAATTTTCTGATTAATATTAATCAAAATGACGGGCTAATTTACGATCTCATGTTTTGCCACAACGAGATCGAACACACTTCAAGCTTAGTTTCAGAAATAGAGCTCATACATGATGTACTTGTGATGCTCTGAGCAAACACCATTGTGCAGAGTAACTAACTTTGGATCCTTAGTTTAATGGAACGTAGCAGATCATGGATTCAATGATCCGTCTTCAGATCATTCAGATTAGTGATCTGATCGATGAATCCCTTTCTAGAGAGGATTCAGTGGATAACTGATCTGGAGACGGATTCGCTGCAAAGGAACGCTACATATCAGAAATCGTGACCCAAATCCTCCGAATTTTTAATTAGATTACCATGTAGAAACACTGAATAGTGATCATTTTTCTCTTAGCATGAAATGGTCTTGCCTGTGTATTCTAAACTGAGAGTTGAATATGGGACGGTAAAAGCATATTTATGTGATAACTTTCCGATGCGGGCAAACAGTTGATTACATATTGTAATATATTTTTGTTTCAGATTGAACCAAACCTGTCAGTTACAGGATATAAATTTTGTATCATGGTTTCTCAAGTAGTGTTGTCGCCAAAAATGGGTTCGTTTGGCGTATAGCATCGTATGATAAATTCGTACCTTTCCTTTCGTCTCATTCTATGCACGTTACTTTTATCAATATTATGTTACATTTTCCTACATATTTCCTTCGCTCACTGGTAACGTCCTTCACCGTGGATTTTATTTTTTCAGATCTATCGCTTAATTATTTAAACTGACTCTGCCGATCTCTTTTCGTCGTTTTATATCGTGTTCAATTTTCCGTTGCCTCTGCTCTCGTTCGTTTTAAGTGTCGCGTTTTGCTGTTCTTTACTATTTTTGTTTTCTTGTTAGTCAATTTCCTTACTTACAATTGTAACTTACAACTTATAAGTTGTAGCAAAAACTTCGATTTGGATACTGACTTTACTACGTCTCGTTTTGCTTCTTGGAAGTGCGTCGTTGACCGTGTAAGGCAAGTATTTCTGGCATTCATAAGTGGTGTTTGAAATATAAGGTTTTTGGCTATACATACGTTTGATTTTGTTCTTTTTTTTGTTATTATTTACATGGCGTGAGAGTGAGACCCCAAATCACCAGTTAGACTGTAAAAACGAACCAGCCATAAATAATGCTAATAGCGAATGTAAATAATCTTAGATGTGGCCGTACAAAGATCTTTTACAACCGTTGGGTTTTATGATACCTTGCAAAAATACAAACTCAGGCATCGACGGAAGGGTTCCCAGCTAGCTGTTGCTATTTATATCGGTTATCTCAAACGCTTGTTATAGCCTGACCGTAACTATATCTTTCGTGCACGCAACAGTATTTTTCAAGTTCTCGTAGACGCCTTTCTGAGACCAAAAAGTGTCTTTAAAGTATTCTCCAGCTATAAATATTTTATGACCTTATATTTCTTGATATACAAATTAATATGGCATGTGCATTTGACACGAGCCATTGTCTAACTAAAGAAATTATAGCAAAATTGTCTCGTTTTTTAGGCTTGACAAACGATTATTTCAGCGCAAATTGATGATCAGTGTTAAATACAGAAAAAAGAAGTTTCATAAAAAGAAGGATTTTGGTTGTGTTACCACAAAATTCACCTGATCCTCCGCGCGAAAATCAAATCATCTGCGTGGTACAGCGAACAATGGTTCTTTCCCACTTTGCATCGTGTTGCATAATTTGCACAACCAAATCACGTGAAATAACATCTGGCTGTTTTTAGCTATTCAACCCCTAAGAGTGACTGGCATATTATTTGTCCCTATAAGATCAAGGACACGAGAATAATGGAACAACTGAAGAAGCTCTTGACTGTTAAACAAATTCTCCTTGTCAGCACTTTAGGAAATGTATGAAGAACAGTATGGAGAATATACATACTGATGTTAGGTTGTAAAAGGTTAACAGAGAGTAGAAGAGGACATGGTGGTCTAATGGTTAATGCAGATCAAGAGGTTTGGGTTGAGTCAAGGGTGGGGAAAGGCAAAACTAATAATCATAATAGTAATATTCACTTCACCATCTCACCCCTTTCCTAATTTTTTCCTGTCACTCACCCATTTGGTACAAATAATTTCTTTCTCTCTCCAGCCTTCTGCTGTCATTAAAATCAAAGATGGTGGACATAATTTTCACTAAGAAAACACTGTGCATTCCCTCCCCGAAATCATGCCTGTTCTGTGGGCTAAATCTGGTTGGGTTATTGTGTTGTTTCTTGGGCAAAACACTTTATTCTCACAGTACCTCACTCAATCCAGGAGTAAAGATGGGTACAGCTACATTGCCAGGGAAACCTGTGATGAAGTGCTGGGGGGTAACCTTGCAATGGACTTGCATTTCCTCTACTGGGTTGTCATTATGCTCCTATTTTCTTCATGCTGTGTAAACTGGGATGGGCTTTATTGCATGGGTCACTTAGCTCAACTACAGACTTGAGACTGACTAACACATTCTTTCAGCTTGTTACTTTTATTACAAGGGTGCATCCCTCTTTCACTCTTACCATTATTATTTACTCTTTTTCATTACTGTGCTTGCATCAAACTTTTCTTACAATAGACAATCATTATTTCAGGCTAGTTACAATATATGATCACTCTCACTACTTCTGCGTTAAGCTCAAATTAAATACATTAATACAATCCAACTGCTCATATTAAAACTAAGATATACCCAACCATATTTTTTAGGCAGACACCCTTTAAAATCCAGACCTTAAGTGAAACCTGCTCAATTTCCCAAATTACAAATTCTGAATCCAATTTGAATCTAGAATTGTCAACTGTGTCTAATATTCTTTTCAATACACCATATCTGACACTACTTACAACTATCAATACTATTACACATATTATAGATTCACCAAACCTTACAGCAGTACAGGTAGGCATCTAGCATAACCTACCAAACACCAGAAACAAGTAAACACATTATGTATCTCAGATGTTTGCAGTACAAAATTCAAATATACACACATGCTTCTTTAGAACAGAAGTCGTAAAGTGCAATAATCAGCCATCTCGGCAATATGCTTTTCTATGTACATAGGTCTATATATTAATATACATCTCAGGATTTCAGATTTCCTTAATATGGCAAAAAACAATGACTTTGAACAAATGCTTCAACAGGAATGCAAGAGATTTAATCCAATTGCCACAAGGCAAATCAAGTATACAGTGATCCAAGTTTTGGCACACTATGATTACTGGTACCAGATTATGAGGCAAACTTCCTGTGCCATAGTCATCCCACCGCACAACTCAGTATTAGATGTCATTCATATTGATCATCGTGAACCAATATACAACATCGATCTTCTACGTCTTGGCATTGGTTCCTCTGCCACAAAGAAAAAATCTTCATCATCCATGTTGAACAAGTTTACATCCAGCAAAGCTGGTTCATAAAACTCAGGCAGTGTATTCCAAATGTACTGTGAGAACAGCTCCATTCCATCACAGGCCAAATGGCCATATTCATTCATTACATTCCATAACTCTGTCATGCCAGCAAGAGCTTGCTCTTGTGTTTCATTCAACAGCTGTGAAAACACTTCAGCCTCAGTTTTAAGACATTGGGTAGTTGACATCAGAAAATCTCCAGCTTCAGAAAGTTGAGAAACTAAACAGTTGTTGGTGATTAATTCATTCACTCTGTCTTGTGCCAGCTGCAAGACAAAAACATTACAATTTGGTTCTATGACAATACAAAGTAAAGGTTTTGGTATATAACTTTGTTTCTTAATGTTCTTTCTGGGTCTGATAATCTTATTTTTTAACCCTTTCACTCTCAAGATCTCGTTATTTAGCAATTCTCCTTACTGTCTGCCATACAGTTCTTATGATGTTAGTCTGGAGAATTTGGAATTTGATAGACTAGTGATCCTCTAATTGATCTTTTCTTTATTCTCATCACTTTTCTGCTTGCATTGTATTAATATTGTAAGGAGAAGTTCTGTCTTGGTCACTCAGAAATCATGAGAATTTAAGTGTAAGGAGCTAAATCTGAGTGGTTTAACACTTTGGTCGGCATGATGCATGAATGTACACAACCTCGCTTTTTTTTTTTTTAATTTCAGTCTACTCTTTTCTTTCATGGTGGCTTTCCTTTGGGTAATTCTGAGGTTTGCAAGTGGAAAATGAGATTTTGTGGCTTTCATTTTGTTTCAGGGGACCAACAGGGTGTTTCTTAAGGGTTGATTTTAGCCCTGCTTTATACCCCTCTCACCCATGGATAATTTCCTTTTCTTTGCATGTTAGTTTACAATTCTTTTCTTTTTTTTTTAATCTCCTCTGATTTGCATAAATGCCATGTGCACTGAAAGATTTCTGTAAAACCCCAAACTATTCCAAAACAAAGCCATACTCCCAAAGGTAATCTATTGTTTTTGCCATTGTTTTCATTACCCAAGAACTGTATGCATAATGAAGTATGGGGCTTGTGCGGAAAGCTTGACGCCTTCAATCGTGCCCTCTTCATCTCAAAAGAGGCCACAAAGAGAAGGTCTTGGGGTTGCCTTTTAAAAAAAATTGCATCCATGTAAAACAGATTTAAACTGTTGTACCTCTACCACAGTATGAAGAATTTTATCCGGTGTATAATCGGAAAGCATATCTGTTGCATCCTTCCATCTTTCCTCTGCAGCATGCCACAATGCACGAGAAATGCTGTCTCCGTTTTCACAGACACCAATTGAATTGCATCCAGTACTTGTGTCAGAGAAACAGTTGCTTAGCGGTAAACTCAAGGCTGACTCGCAAATCCTTAAAACCTCACATTCACTTGAGCTAGTTGAGTTATTTTCGCCAAATATTTGCTGTAATTGCGTTCTTCCGAAGGACAAAATTTTTTCAGCGGTGACTTCAAAGCAACAGGGTTTTGAGTCCAGACTTTCTGTGGTTATTCTGCCTTGAAGATGTAATCCGCAACCCTTCAGCAGCGACTGATTTGCTAGGCTAAGTAACTTAGAGGTTAAAGATGATGTTCCTCCAAAAGCCAGTCTAGAAATGGGCACACTGCGAGCGACATTGTATATCTTCATCAACTGACCCACCAAATGTGAAATGAGTGCTGATTCGCCACACATCGAACAATTCGCAAACAACAAGCTTAGATTCGACTCTGTCGATAGAATTACCGTTTCGCTGGTACAAGACATCTTTGAAAAAGCCTTTTTTCTTTTCAGCTTTTGCGGAAGAAGGAAGATGTTATGTAAAAATTGTCTCGTGACAGCACATTCTGAGGAAGATGAAACTGCTTGTTTACAAATTTATTTTAAGTTAGGCAAGGTTACAATGCTTCCTTGTTTCCCAGTTCTCTGTCGGTTGAATAAGCGCCTGACCCTTTTTGCACATTCAGAATCGCGAAAATGGCTTCTGACGAAGGTAACCCAAACGGCACTTTGATCATCGATGGAAGTGTTATGGAAGGGGTATTGTAAAGCATTTCATCCACGAGATGTTACAAAATACGAATAGTTGAATAAGTTTTCGCTTTTTCCACACAGGGAGGTCAAATCCTTCGGAATGCAGTCAGCTTCGCATGCCTGTTGAATTCTGCAGTTTGTGTTCAGAATATCAGAGCTGGAAGGTCTGCACCAGGATTAAGAGCTCAACATATGACCGGTACTTTTCGCACTAAATTTCGAGCAAATTAAAGAGGCGATTCTCGCAGGTGCAACTTTGCAATTTAGAAATTGTAGGAGAGAGGCCTAAAAAGTTCAGGCTTCGACTAGACACTACTAACATACAACCGAGCCACGGAGCCACATGTTGGGTCCTGAATTTTCCAGGCTTCGTTTGCCACCCAGAAAGTTGGCAGTTTGAGATGGCGAGTGTTTCACTGTACGTGAGCTAGCTTCACTCGCAAGAAGCTCCAAACTTCGCATATTTCAAAGTTAGAGACGTTCTTGAAATAACTTTTCCTTTAAATCGACTTCTTTTCTATATAAAAACATTTAAAAAGGACAAAGATTCAACAAAGGTTCTCGTATGGAATAAGCCAAAAAAATATTGATTAAAATTGGTAATTATTCTTTAACCCTTTAACTCCCAAGATCTGATTGAATTGTTAATTCTCCCCTCTAGCTTCTACACATGTCCTTGTAAATTAGTTACAAGAATTTGGTTGGTATAGATCAAGATAACTTCTACCTGATAAGTTTGAGTATTCTCATTACCTGCTTGCTGTATAATATATGGATATTATGATGAGAAGATACATGTTAATCACTTCTGGCAGTCTAGGGCTAAACCTCCTTTAAGAGGTTTTGGGTCACAGTTAGTGTCATGACTATTTACCAACAGTCAGCACTTGCAAATTTATGCTCAAGGATTTGGGGCTAATGCTGTCATTAATTCATGATTTTAAGGACTGCAACTGGTGCGAGATGTTACTTCTGGTAAACTTGAAGGTGACAAAATTGGTTCCACTTCGGTCTCTCTTCATCCAGGCAGTATTGGTTCTGGGATATTTTTAGCAGATACTCATACAGCTGGGTGAGATATGTTAGAATAATTGCATGACAAGTCTTCTGCAATATGGAGTTTTGTAAGAAGGATGAGAAAGATGGTAAGTTTTAAGCTTGATGAAGAAATACAGAAAGATGCTTTTCATCTTGTTATGTTTCTTTACCAAGCTTATAACTTACCACCTTTCTAATTCTATTTACAAAACATGATGCTATCAATGTTACTGATCCTAGCAGTAAGCAGGATGTGTATCATATATGACCTTTGTAATGGGCCTTGCCCACCATAGAGTCTCTGTGGCTCAGTGGTAGAGCATCAAAGCATGGAATCCGAAGGTCTGTTAAATTTTGTTAAATTCTGTCAACTTTTCAAGTTCTTTTGTATTTTTGCCCTAATTAGAATTAGAATTTAGTTAGAGCGAGAGCACCATATTTTCTTCCTAGGGTGACCTTTATTGATCCTTAAATTTGTTGTTTTATTTTCCCTTTGCAATCATTGTTTGTTTCTGTCACCAAAGGCATTAGTGAGAGAGAAAATGTAGCTGATGCTCTATGTGACAACACCAAAGAAAAGCTGAAAAAGAGACTTGTAAGAGTCGGTGTGATTTCAGTATATTTGTTGTGTCAGTAAGTTATTTTTCTCATCTTACAGGAGTGTTTCTCTGCTTATGCAGTTGGCTCTTCCTTGCCTTCTATATGCTCCTGAGACATCTAAGTTAATACTTAAAGGAGGAACAAATGCAGAAATGGCCCCACCTATTGATTACATGACAGATGTAAGTGCTTAGGCAACTGTATTTTTTTTAAAACTTTTACCAACAAGTGACCTGAACTGAACATTATCATTTTTATGCATTTCAATAACAAGGTAGTCATTGTAATTGTGGGTTGTGAAATGAATTAGGTTATCCCACAGAATGTAGTCTTTGCTACCTTTAGTTATGTTGTGGATCTCACGGGAAGCATGTACAATATTTTTGGAGTCTTTTTAGAACCTTCTAACCCCTAAGAGAGAATAGTGTCTAATTTCTCCTCATGATATCATCCTTGAATCACAAATGAAGGTCATGAGAATAAAGGAAATGATCACCATTACTCAAGAAGCTCTGGATTGTTGCACAAATTCTCCCTGTCAATGCCTTAGGGAATGTATATGGAATAGTATAAAGAATATATACACTGATTTTAGGATGTAAAGGATTAAGATAACCCTCCCATGTTCCTGTGTTTTGTTTAGTAGACTTATTTCCTTGGCTTTACTTTTAAATATGTGTTATTATCATCAAAGATGTATCCTAACAGTGCAGCAGTTGGTTTAAGGTCCAAGTGTTTTTTTGATTATAGAAAATGCACTTTAAAATGATTCATCTTTACTGACTTCAGCCTGAGGAATCAATGTACAGTTGAACCATTATTAAGCAGTCACCCATGGGGAATGGCTGAATGGTGGCATTTTAATACAGGTTGACCACTTAACACAGGTCCCACAGATTAGGGGTATCATAAAAAACAATAAACAATACCACTTTATATCATAACTGACCACTTAATGTACAGAATCTTGCTTGTAAAATATTACAGTATCTTACTTTGATTTTGGGAGAGAAACATGGATTGAAAATTACTTGAAAAATTATTCTTAGTTTTAATTGAGTGCTCCCCCTTTCAGTGACCATTCAATACAGGTGGAGAAAAATATTATTAATGATATGGTACTGCTTAATGCAGGTTCAACTGTATTTTTTATTTTATCCACATGCATAGCATTGAATTAAATTATATATCCTAAAGGATTTTGATTGATGTACTTTTTAAAAAAAAACTGTTGTCCTTCTGCAGATTTTGAGACCAGCTATAAAAAGACTGGGTGTAGACTTTGATTGTGAGATTGTAAAAAGGTTAGTTGTCCACTTTATAACTTGAGTTAAGGAAATTTTTACAAAGGGCCTTTTCTCTTATGCCATCTAATAAATCAGAAAAATATTTGACCCTAACTAATGTGTTTGTTGTTGTTGTTGTTTTTTTCTGTACAAGAGGTTATTATCCTAAAGGAGGAGGAGAAATTCATGTTACAGTAAACCCCGTCAAACAGTTGAAGCCATTACAGTTACTACAAAGAGGAACATTATCCAAGATTACAGGTCGTGCTTATGTTGCAGGTGTTTTACCTTTCAAGGTTGGTAAATTATTTGTAATAGCAGAAAACCCTGCCTCAGGTCAGAATTTGTGAGGTTGTTTTGTTGAAAGGAGGAAGTTAGGGGGTTCTGACATAATGAAGCTGTAGACAGCAAGGATACAATAATTTTCATTAAACAGAGCCTAAAGTTTCAATTCTTCAAATGGCTGTTTTGATAGCTGTTAGCCATCCCTTTAAAGAGTAGAGATGTTGTCCTAAAATCCTCTGACTTTGTGCACTTGAACTTGAATATAAAAGAACCCCTTATGCTATGACTTTCGGTTCATTGAAGTGCGAAGGAAGTTTGGCAACCATGTTTTGACATTAAGTTATAAATCATGTTCTCACAGGGGACTGGCTCTGTTTCAGTGGAAACGTGTCATTTGACTTCTTTTGATGGGCTTTTACATTTGATGGGCAGTGACTCGTGGCTCTTGAGATTCTTTTACCATTGCAAACAAGGAAGGTTGCCTGTGAGAACACTATTACTTTACATTTACAGTCAAAACCCCATCACCAAACTTTTCAGCATATTATTCTGCTGATAATTGTTCCTGATCAATGACTATTTTGAATATAAAAGTGATCTTTGCAGTAATGAGCACCACTTGACCATTATGTCAGCTCAGTTAGTAAAATAAGGCCTGAAAAAATTTAGGCCTGTACAGGATTTGAACCCATGACCTCTGCAATGTTAGTGCAGTGCTCTACTAACTGAGCTAACATTATCACCAGCTCCCAGTTGGCTCACATAATATTATATGAATTTCCTTCAGGCCTTATTTTCACTACTGCTCCTTCAAGTAGTCTTCATGACTGGGAGGATTGCTTTCATACTCCCTTCTTTGTCTGCAGTTTACATAAATGATTTTCATATATTCACAGTTATTAACTATTTTACATGTCAGACTTTTTGGTGTCCAAATTGCTCCAGCTGGTGATTGAAACAGAAGTGCACGTTTCGTCACTTTTTGTCACCCAAATAACAAAGCTTATTTTGAACTTTAAATGCTAATGTCAAAGTTTTGGTATTTTCTGTCAATGAAAGAACAGGGCCTTAGTTGGCTTATCAATATGGTTGATTTAATTTTTGAATTGATATCAGTATCTGGGCAACTGCCCACCTACCCATCCCCTAGTCCAACAACAGTCAACTGATAACAAATTAAGTTAGGGTTAATGTTGGGTTAGGGGAAGGGTAGGTGGGCGGTTGCCTAGATACTGATGTTGGTCCAAATGTTTTGATAGATGGCCCAGACTATGGCTGAAGTGGCCCATAGAATGTTGAAGGAGAAGTACCCTGATGTGCAGGATATTGAGATAGAACCAGATAAAGAACCTGGAGACAAGGCACATGGAAGTGGATCTGGAATAATGTAATTCCTATTAATAATTACTTACTTAAATTATTAGCATTGGCACAAACTGCGAACAGATAATACTCCATTCAGGGTTATTTATTTTTACTGAAGTCTTTCAGTTGCCTCATTACTTTGGACCCTTGAGTTTCTAGGAGGAATTGTAACTGTACTTAGTCCAGATAATTATTTTTAAAGATGTTCAAATCTCATTGTCTTCATTGTACACTTTGTACTCACAGACAGTATACATTTTAAGTGGATGACATACCATCAAAGAAAAGATTATCAAGCCCCAAATCACCCGATGAGTTGATTTTCCTCATACTTAAATTGTAAATGTAACTATTTTAGAATTTATTGATATTAAATTTTTAGGCTCATGGCTGAATCCTCTACTGGATGTAGAATTGCTGGATCAGCAATTGGAAGGAAAGGTAATTGCCCATTCTGTATGTCATATGTATAAGTGGTTAAAAAATTCTCAGTTTTGATTATTAATAACAAATTAAGAAAACAAGCCCCAACATTAGATTGGCAGTTATCACAGTAACATTAACCCTTTAACTCCCAGATCAAATTTGTAATTCTCCTTACTGTCAACCATACAATTCTTATAATGTTAGCACAGAGAATTTAGTATTGGGTCAACTAATTATCCCCAAATTGATATTTTTCTTAATTCTCATCACTTGTCAGCATGATATTGTATAGATATTGTAAGGAGAAATTCTGTCTTGGTCACTCATGGGAGTTGAAGGGTTTACAAAACCCAATAGACAGAAGATAACACATATTCACCAGCATATAACACACTAAGAAAACTGACTAATCAATATTGTAAGTTAAATAATATTTTATAAACCCCTGTGTAGAAGGTGTGTGACAGGTGTGAGGTCAGAGGTCACAGGGATTCACCTTTCCCCTTTCTTATGCTTCCCTTCATTTGGTTCAGGTTACTCCCTGCTATTTCCATAGCAACTGATGGTTTGTCTAAGAACCTGTAATTTAAGATCAAGGGAAGTGATGTCTTGTTTCTTTTTCTATGGTCAAGGTGTTTCTCCACAGGAGGTTGCAGGAAACGCAGTTGAGGAGCTGGCAAATAATCTTCAATATGACAGTTGCATTGATGAACATCTTCAGGATCAGGTTGATTGTGTAGAATTATAAACATACACATTTTACTTTGTAATTCTAACAATCCAATTTAAGTAACTCTCCCTGCTGATTGCCTCACATTTCTTATAAATAAGATAGGAGAATTTAGTGTTTTATCAGGATAACATCCTCCTACTGATGAGCT